GGAAGGCATAAAGCAGTCCCTCAGAGGAGGAGAGATGAGTGTAAAGGTTATTTGTCTAATTGTGGCAGAGATAGCAGCTTTCAAGAAGGTCAAAGTCTGGACACAGCCATTTATGAGGCATTAGGGGATTAGTTTGGGCATGAGTAAAGAGAAATAGAAATCACAAAAGGAGATGACTCAGGTCTCTCCTCAGAGGGGTCAGCTCTCTCCTTTGCTACATTTAGTGGGAAATAACAGATGTTATTGTCTCTGCTGGGGCAAACTAGCCTGCGGAACCATCCCTTGGGAATATTTACTCAACCTGATGGAAGGATACATGCAGTGTGGAGAAGCAGGAGATGCTTGAGACCAGGTTTTTCTCTCTTTCACTCAGTGACTGGGGTTGGTTGGCCTGTCCTTGCATCCCCCAGAACCACGCACCCCCCAGAACACCGCACCAGTAGTCAGACAAGTGTGGTGAAGAGACTCGTGTCTCCCAGTACTATTTTTATTTCCCACTCGTGTTTCACTTTGTTCCTGCAAAGTGAGGAGGCAGTGCGAGGCTGGCGTCTGCCTGAAGCGGGTGTTTGGAAATCACTCAGGAGTCAAAACGTCCCCACGCAACTCCCGCATTCTTCTCAGGTGCCAGTCTGTGCTGGAAACCCATTTCCCCCTGAAAGGCTTTTCGAGTTGATGTCAATGGCAGGGAAAAAAGAAAAAAAAAAAGCAAAAAAAAAAAAAAAGCAGAAGAAGCAGCGAAGGATAGCAGAAATGATTCTTAACCCACGCAGTGTCATGGGGCTGTGTGCTCCTTCCCAGGTGCTGCTCTCCTGCAGCAGGAGGTCATTGAGGGCTATGCTACTTGACACAGACTCCTTTTAAAAAATTTATTCTTCCCAAGAGCTCAGAGGGACCCAACCACAAGGCATCAAACTGTGGGCACTTCTCACAGCAAAGTCATGGCTTGGAAAAGACTGGGGGAAACTTTTGGAGTTTTTTGTGTTTTGGGGTTTTTTTGTATTTGTTTGTTTGGTTTTCTTTTCCCAGCAAAATTAAACATGTCCCCCAGGAATTTCAGCTCACCTACACCTCTGAGAAGTACCCCTGTACTCTGTGTAAATTATTTTATTTTAATTTTATTTTGATTTAAAGCAAGAACTAAACTTTTCCAGCAGTTATGGAGGATGTGGATGGAGGAGGAGGAGGGGGATCTTCTTCACTGTCAGTCAGTTTTTATCCCCAGGTTTCTACCTCCTCATAACAAGGTGTTTTGACTGAGAAGGAAACTTGGAGTATATGTGTAATAACTGGAGCATGTGGTTATCATGCAACTGATAGACCAGTATAAATTCTGCAGCTCAGGGAAGAGTTGTTTTCATATTATATCCAATATCTGTATCTTTATATGGGGGCAGTGCCCAACAGAAAGAATAAAACTATGATGAATGAATGAAGTTAAACCCACTGGTAATGGTGGGCTTGGTAAGAGAGGGGGTGATTGTTTGCATTTTTCACATTTGATGATTTTTTTTTTTGATTGCCATAATTTAAATGACACTACTTAGGATGGCAAAATTTAGAGATTCAGTAAAGCTGCTTGTCTGAATCCACTTTGAAGAATGTTACTGGATCTGAAATCCAGATCTAAGAGCTAATCTCTAGTTTTGCCTTCAAACGGAATTCAGCTACAAAGAGCTCGGAAAGATTTTGCATCTATTCAGGAGGCACAACATCTTTAATTTTCTGAGGAGCAAAAACTCCACAAGAAACTTCATATAGCTCCTTAGGTTTTGCTTAGCATATGTGATAAAACATTGATTGTTGCAGTTTGGTGACCCATGAAATTTGGGGGTTAGTTTTCTCTTCAGACTAGAGCATATAATTATGCAAATAAAGAGCTGTCACTGATCTACTGAAATACTCACAAACACATGCAATCCAAAATGGAACAGAAAAGTGAAATTTGTGGTATTATGATAGTACAATGATAAATGACACCTCCTTCTAAGTTTTTTAAGAAGTACATTTTTCACACTTTGTCAAGTACATCAACATAATGCAAGTGCACACACACACACATACACACATACACGTCCCTGTGAGATCACGATATCCACAAATGTGTGCAGAGGCACACACACATGCATCCTTCCACTCTGTAAGATGTAGCTCTACCCGGGTGTATGAAGGATGTACACATTCTTGGCAGGTTATTTTTGGCTTGGCTGACTAGAGAATGGTGCAATATGTGGTTCCACGCAGTTTTAGATGTGACACTTTTCATTTGTACTTCTGAATGAAATTTCTAGAGGGGTAAAAAACCCTACAATTAGTGATGTTTCTCAGAGGCAGAGGAAAAATGCATATTTCCCTGGAAAGCATCAGCTTCTTCTGACAGAGTCTGGGAGAATCACACTGTGACAACTGTAACTGTAACCAGTGTATCACCATGCAAATGAGGTATTTCTTTGCTTTTTTTTCCACATAGCCTTGTTGTGTGCTAGCTGTTTTCCTTGAGGAACATTATTTTTCTTGCTCTCTGTTCTTGACAAGGAAACTATTCTCATTGGCCCACAGCTTTAACAGCAGCATTTCAACTCACATAATGCTGTGCAAACTTTTTGGACAGGTGGACCATAAGCACTTGGGCAATGAGGAGCTGAGGGATTTTCCTGAAGATTCTATTGTAGGGTCAATTTTGTTGGCTTACTTTTGTTGCCAGTTCAGAGGTGTGGGTGTTTTTTTTTTTTTGTTTGTTTGTTTTTTTTTTTTTTTTGTCACCTTTTCATGCCCAGTGCCCAGTTCCCAAGTTGCCCAGTTCCCTGTGATGAAACTGGGAGGATGCAGGTATCAAACCTCCATCTGCTAAAGACATCACTGCGTGAGGGGCCAGTGGTGTGCACCTTTAAAAACACTGATTCCAAGGAATAGATTAAATGAACATTCATCCCTTCTAAGTATGCTTCAGGGCTACTGTTTCCACATGACATGGACATGGTGGTACATGCCAGGATGCTCCCATGCTCTTTCCGCAGCCCACACACCCTCTGCAGGTGGGGGCAGAGATACCTCCTCCCCCATTTCCAGCCCACAACCCTCTGCAAAGATCCTTCTCCATAAGAAACCAGTCAACTCCCTCTCCTAGGGTGTATTTTTATATGGTTTAGTGTTTACAAGAAGATAAAGGGGAGAGGGAAGCTTTATGCAGCTACCCGCGGATGATGTGGGGTGGGGGGGAGAAGCCCATGCTCACTTGAGAAGGGGGGCTGAGCCCTAAGCTGTGGGGCTGGACATGCAGCCCACCCCACAGCATGGAGGAGACTAGCACAACCCATACCACACCCACAGCTTCAACACCCACCCCTGCCACCCATACGAAGTCCTGTTTGCAAATACACCTCACCTGCACCCCTCATGTGTTTTCCAAGGCTGGGGGAGCTGCTACCCATGCAGCCCCCTCACTACCCACCAGGGACCGCGGCTCCTGCGGAGCTTTGGTGCAGGACACAAAGCATGCAAAGAGGAGAGAAAAGAGCATCTTTATTTTTTGTTCACTGCAAGCAGAGCAGTACCAGGACCCCCTGTGCTTTACAGTCTGCCACAGAAGTGATAATGTGAGCTGGACCGAGAGCACAGTAAAGGAAAATACTTTTAGAAAACAGTAAGCATTACAGTAGAAATTTTTGTAAAGTTCATTTCTCATTGACAGTTAAAAAAATAGATCTGCTCCCACAATATTTGGCACCCCACAGACCTCATGGCACCTCTCCAGCAATGAAGAGAGGAGGGTGGCAGGGTGTGCATGCAAACCTCCCTAGCCTCGCCATCCTCCTGGGCTGTGGGGCAAAGCACAGACACTCAAACCATGCCATGCAAACTCTCTCCTTTACTCCTAAGGGCCCAGGGGCTGGGGTGCACATGGGCCTGGGGAGGAGGGGTTGCAGGCTCCCGAGGTGGGAGATTAGGCCAGCCACAGGCAGCAGCATCATCCGAATGGGAAGGAAGGCAGAGACTGGCAGATGGGGGGAGCCAGATGCAGTCCTCTCCCCCTAGCAACAAGTTTCCCTTCGAAAAGAAAAACTGCCAGGCATGGATTTTGCACTTCCCTCTGCGAAGGCATGGCCTGACACCTCCCCCACCCCACCCAGGGGAGATGCTCCAAGCATCCTTCCCCAAGGGGAGAGGTTAAAAGCAGTGAGCTGACTGGAGCCGACAGTTGGGGAAGTGAAGCCCTGCTGCCAGTAGAAGCAGGCAGGAATGTGAGAGCTCCGTGGGTTCAGATAGCCCCCCACCACCAGAGGATTTAGGCACAAACCCAGCCAGGTTTCCCCTTGGACCTCACTACTACCCCATCTTCCACATGACCTCGTTTTAATGCTCCCCACCACCATTTCTGGCCCTCAGTTGTGGGATTGGAAACATTGCATGGGGAGGGGTGGGATGGGGGTCCCAAACCCATGTGTTTGAGTGTCGCTTCCTCGGCACTAACAGCATCGGGGTGAGGGGGGCATAGCTGTCAAAGAAAAGATCACTTAAATTTAGTATCATCAATAGCAAAGGAGCTTAATTAGTGTGCTAGCTCACAGGGCATGCTATCAGGAACGTCTTGTCCCTCAGTTTTAGTGGAGAGAAGATGCCTACAACAACTCTGATAGCTACAGACACATCCCCATCATGTGCTGCGTGGTGTCCCCACACAGAGCAGCCCCACGGGCCGCCCTTCACCTGAGCACCTGGGAAAGTGGTGATGAACACATGAGTTAGGCAAAAGGCAATAACCATGGGATGGCAAGTCATTACAAACCCAGCATATGAAAACAGAAGCAACTTTGTGTTTAAAAATAAACAGGAAAATATGCAACATGTCTCTCTTCTTCTTCTTTTTCTTTTTTTTTGCTGTCATATTTCACAGTGTGATCCAGCCCGTTAATGAATAGGCTTTTTTTTTTTTTTTTTTTTTTTTTTTTTTTTTTTTTTTTTTTTTTTTTTTTTTTTTTTTTTTTTTTTTTTTTTTTTTTTTTAAATGGAGCTTTCAAAGGGAAGAGAAGATCTACAGATAATTGATCTGGCAGGAGAAAAATATAACAGTGGAGCTTTCCTAGAATTCTGGACGAAACTTCCTGAATACTCTTACCAACAGAAAAATGAAAGAGTTAAAAGTCAATCCCACTTGGTCCCAGAGAAAGAGAAGGCTACTGGGTGTAAAATCATAGGCTGGTTAACATGTCTGAGTTAGAGAGCTGTCTTTTAAAAAAGAGTAATTCCTGTTTTGTTCTGTCTCAAAATAGAAGGAAGCTACAAAAAATCCTGCAGGCGATAGGACTGCAACGAAGTTGCTAAATTCTGGCATCAGCTTAGTGCAGGGCTACGTCAGGGCAATTAGAGCTGCACCATGCTGCACTGTGCAGTACCACTGTCAGCCTTAATCTGCACACTGACGAGCAGTACGAAATCCAAGTTACAGCCCACAGGAAGCACAACCAGTGAACCCATATTGCTTTGACAGTTGCACTCATCTAGAAATAATGCAAAACGCTATTTAGATGTATACATCACGACCCTGTGCTCTAGGAAGAAAACAATCTAATGAGGGTTGGGAGACTCCTTGCAGAAAACAAGAAGCAAAGACATTGGTGATGGTGGTGGTGGCTTTTTTTTTGTCTCCCCTCCTTTTAGAATTCTTCATATTTTATCCTGTTGGAACGCCGCATTGGGGTTGGTTTCACCAAGCTGTTTTTTGCCTTTATAGCCTCGCTGAAGAACTTGAAAACAGATGGAAAACTCTTCCAGGAAGTTAGTTCATGGCGTTCTGTACCTGTAAAACACAAAGGTGACAGTTTGACTAGGAGTTGTTCTGTGACTGCTGGTTGCTTGCAGGATAAATACAGGGTAAATGCCCAGGTAAATGCAAAAATGCAAAACCTGGGGAATTCATCCAGCTGCTGGCAGCTGGTCTAGGGGGAGCCTGGGGAGGGTCAGGACTGTTCTCTGCTGAGCTCAGGGACAGTTAGGTAGGAACAACTATACACACACTCAGAGAGACAGACACACAAACATACACACTTGCTCATGCAAATGCACAGTCAGTCAAATCACAGATCAGAGATCCTTAACATGTCTTGGGTATGGGAAAATGAGATCCCAAAGTACCCTGTTAATTAAAGCTTTGTTAAAGCACCTCATCTGTTTTGCCTAACTTGGGAAAAATAAAGTATCTACTTTTCAGGACTGGCATACTTTGTATTATTTATTTTTCATTTTTCACCTTTTAGACTGGCACCTTCATTTTTAAGTGAAAGAGAATACATGACCTGAATAACATCATATGTATCATGAAGGCATCTTTTGTGCACCCTTTCCCACAGATGATATTGAGGGAATAAAGTGGACCTTTCCTGTTTACATCTTCCCTCTGCATACAGATTTACCTCTGGGGGTTTTTTCTATGTTTTGTTTTGTTGTTTTTTTTTTTTTTTTTTTTTTTTTTTTTTTTTTTTTTTTTTTTTTTTTTTTTTTTTTTTTTTTTTTTTTTTTTTTTTTTTTTTTTTTTTTTTTTTTTTTTTTTTTTTTTTTTTTTTTTTTTTTTTTTTTTT